CACTCTCTCTCTCTCTCTCTCTCTCTCTCTCTCTCTCTCTCTCTCACACACACACACACACACACACATACACGCACACACATACACTCCTGTTTATTGATGGGGAGCGTCACTTGCGTCCCATGAACATCGTGAATAAAGCACCAATCAGGACCCCACACACACACTCTCTTCGAGTTGTGTATAGCGAACATGACAAAACATACATACAGCATAATCACTACCTTACCCTTCCCGAACCACATAAACAAACGAACTACGGGCTGCGCACCTGTGCCCTCACGGTAAGTCAATGATAGCAATGCGCATGGTTTCGATTCTATTTTTGGCGCCGCAGGCAGATATTATCCCCGCAGCAGCAGGTTCAGTCCGCGTGGCACGCACACCCACTCTCAATCACGTGCATGAGACGCTGATGAATTTGCACCGTCGATTGTGCCCAAATTACGCGCGCTGGTAATGGACTCTCCGCAGATCCAAATTACGCACGCTGGCAAATGGACCCGCGGGTTCTAATCCCGTTGAGCCTAAGGACGATATCTACTCTACTTGCCGCGAACGGAATTACAATCGAGCTGCCGTCTGGACCTGACTTTCTGCAAGAACAAAATGTTTAGACATTCATATGTCATTAACGGACCACAAACACCACACCTCGTCTTATAATAAAATAAGATAAAAAGACACACTCTTATCGATTAATGGAAAAAATATTAGATGATGAGAAACAGAGGCGGGAAATGCTGATTCCCTGACATAAGAACAGTGGCAGACGGCGATTCCTGGGCGCTCCCACTGGAGCGTGAGTGTGCCATGATGAATCCCCTTCTTGAAGCAAATGAAGAAGCAGATATCAGTAAAATACTGCAAATTTCCCGCCTCTATTTCTCATCATCTATCTGAAACAGATGAATCCCCCATTTCACTCATCTGTAATTAAGGGTCAATTGCAGACCTGAGTTCGAACTCCACTTGAAGCAAATGAAGCAAATGAGTAAAATACTACAAATTTGAATTACCTAGGGCCAGTCAGTTCAACTCTGATGATATCTCAAGGCCGTTGAAAAAAAAAAAAAAAAAGGTCATCCCAGTGGAGCCACGCAGAAGGAAAGGATCCCCATCAGATAGTTATGCTTTTGACGGCGTGAGAAATCAGGTAAGAGGGCAGAAGATGGCAATCAAGACACCAAGGAGAAGAAGACAAACGAAGAAGGTGAAGATAGTTATGCTTTCGAGTAGAAACGGATGTTGCACATGAGGGGCAGATGGGAGAAAAGCTTAGAGGAGCGACCAGGTGAGATGCCCCCGAGAAATGAAAATAATTGACATACTACTTGAGCCATATGACAAAAACTTATCATGCATGTTTCTGACGAAGGAGAACCTGTTTACGCCAAGGAAATGAACGCGCCGGCAACGCGCGAGGTTAAATATAGGGCAATCAAGGAAGACAGCGAGAAGGAAAGTTAAGCGAGCAGGAGGCTAATCGAGGAAGAGAGCGACAAGAAATCGAGGGTACCAAAAACAGGGTGCCGCTGGCGAAATCGGAAAATCTTAAGGCAGCGGACGAAGGGAGGCGGAGGGCCACACGTTAACGTGACAACAGGAGACCCAATTCTACCCTACAAAAGGAATTGCTCCATGTTCTCTTGCACAAAGGTTTTGACACATAAGGTAAATCACTTGGACAAAGACGCATAATAATCGTATCCCGACGAACGTAATACAATATATCAAAACACAAGTACGAACTTGTCCACGACAAGTATTGCTGAAGTACACTTTTGAACTGAGGATAATCCATTCTGGAGCATGTGCAGAATCGCTCCAAGCAGTTCGAAGACGGCTGGCGGGAAAGAAGGGAAGAAGTGTTTTGGCGGGAAAGAAGGGAAGAAATGTTTTGGCGGGAAAGAAGGGAAGAAATGTTTTGGCGGGAAAGAAGGGA